ATATATATATATATATATATATATATATATATATATATATTTATATATATATATATATATGTGTGTGTGTGTATAATCGTGTGTGTTTAAGTGTGTGTGTATAAGCGTGTGTGTGTAAGCGTGTATGTGTGTGTGTGTGTGTGTTAGCGTGTGTGTGACAGTCCGGAAAAGGTTTAATAATTACAGTGTATGATTTTCGTTCCTTAAAACTTTACGCACAATTAAATTCCCATTAAGATGTATTTACCTTTTACAAAAGATTAGAAATGTCAGAAAAAAATATGCCGGATCTGAGTTAGAGGGTGGTTTTTAGCAAGCGCTAGTTTATTTAGACCAGCTTTTATGTTCTATTTTTGGAACGATCTCTTTTGTGATGTGGTACACAGTTGGATTATAAGTGTGTTAGAATAAGGACAAACAAGTGACATACAATAGCAACTTTTCGGACAGATGTATTGTTCGCATTGGAATGCCGACATGGGTATTTCGTTGACTGGTTGATGGTATAACGAAACAAGCTAGAGGAAACAAACTGGAATCCAACGGATTTTAATAGCTCGAAGTCTTGGATTTTGCAGATGTGCGCTGCCTTCTCACTCAACAACAAATGCAGAACGAATTGTACCGATTGAAGAAGTAGTAATAACCAGTTTACTGATAGTGGCACCGCCCATGACGTTCTAATTATAATCAGCAGCAATAACGCGCGTTTTAACATTCTAAGCCAATGTGGAATTTAAGTACATTGTCAAAAAAAATTCATTCATGATCTATAACTAAATGTGAAGTCTCTTTTACAGCTAGATTACAGACAATGGAGAATGAAATAAGAACATAGAAAAAGTGGTAGTTAATGGCACAATATCAGAAAGACAGTAAATAACATTACTTAGTAGGTGCTGATGTAAAGTCCACGAGAAAGAGGAAGAGAAGGTGACAAAAATGTCAGAAAAAAAATCGTTTGAACTAGAGAATGGGGAGGCTGGATTATTAGGGTTCTATCTTTATAAAAATCAAGTGAGTTGACGAAGTGTTGTCTACGTCCTACGCCTATGCTCCTTAGGAAATCAAACAAAAAAAAAAAGAAAGAAAATCAAACGAACTTAGAGCAGTGGTTCTTAACTTGGGTTCGATCGATCGAATACAAGCGTTCGGTATGTAAGTCTCAGAGCTTCGGCGGATGTCAAGACAAACACCCGACTCATATGATTCACGATAAGATTTTGTCAATGTGGACGATAAAACTATTAAGAAGAATTCAGTGAATGCGCATATGAAACTGGTAGGGTTCGGTACCCCAAAAAAGATTAAGAACCACTGCTTTAGAGTGTAGTTTGTATAAGATGCAAGCTTATTTGGTCTACTTTTGGATGTGTCTTTAGAACAAATTCGATAATAGTGTATTATAGTTTAAAATTATCAGTTAGGTTGAACAAAGTGACAAAGCATCACCTGTTGTCGTGTTGTGCCATTTTTTACATCTTTTAGTAAGTCTAGTGGCCTTAACTATATGAAAATTGCAGTATTAGGACTTGTAATTAAACAACCAATAAAAATGATCTATTCTGTACAATATACTTATGTTTTTATCTCTTAAAATTTAGGCAAAAATATCGTCTTCCCAAAGTATGCTATTTTACTGATCGGATAGCGATTCAAGAATCCGTGATATTGATTTCTCTTTAATACAGTGATCCAGGCAAGATGTAATGCAATCAAGTAAAAGTATCTGAAGTCTAACGTCGCGTCATTTCTTAACAACACTGGCTAGTGAAATTGTACATGACTCGTTAATACAATTGGTTTCTTTTCTAAGTGTGAAATGAGTTATCTACTTACCAATCCAGTACAAATACTTTCGATTTTTGTTTGCGGAAAAGCCCCCCCCCCCCCCACATGCACATTTCCCAACCATATTGGACAAAGTTTGTAGAGCAGGTTTTAATGTAACCGACTTTCTAACTTTTAAAAAAATGTTACACAATCGTACAATGCACTTTAGTACAATTAGTTTCTTAAAGAAGTGCTAAAGGTTGTTCACTCAAAATCCAGTGTAATTTTGCGATTTTAGTAAGCTTAAAAGCTCCCCCCCCCCCTGCAACATCTTGATAAGTCACTAACGTATTTTGCGGTTAAACAATCGTACAATACGTTTTAATACAATTGATTGTTTTGATAAGTGGTAACGCTTATTGACCCACCAATCTAGTGTAAATTTTTCCGATTTCGGTCTCGAAAAATAGCGCCCCCCCCCCCCACTATCTAGGAAAACCTGGAGTATATGTTTTACAGTTAATAATCAAGGTAGAAAACAGTTAACTCAGTATGTAAAGGCGCTTAGCCATTACATTTCTTAACTTAGACTGTTTATAATTCAAAACTGCAGCATAAAACCAGCTTTAAAAAAATTCCCACCCCTTTTGGTGCCCCCCTAGGGTCGGCGCCCGGGGCGGTCTCCCCCCCCCCCCTCCCCTAGCTAAGCCTCTGTAAGAAAGGAGAAGAAGAAGAATAAGAAATAAAAACAAAATAATTGTAAGAGTAAACCTGTTTTGAAATTAATTGTAGAATTTAATAATTGTTTTGCCCTTATAATTATATTTTGTTCGTGTAGTACGCGCTAGGAACAAAATTGTCGTGTTGTTTTTTATCTGATCACCTCAACGTGTGGTTAATGAGACAAGCCTGAACGCTGTTAGGGCGAGACATCCGTTTCGACTGATTCAGATTTCCGGACAGCAGACACCACAGTCCTGGCTTAGGAAGATTACAGAGAACATGTAATGTCGCTATTGAGTGTGATGACGTCATAGGTACTTACAATACATGTTTTTTTTTTTTTAAGTTGAGTTTAAACAGCGTTTGTTAAAAATTATAGAGAAAAAAAAAGTCTCAAGCGATGATTTTAGTGCCCCACTGACTTAAGATTTCTTATTAAAAAAACCCAAAGACAATAAAGCTTCGGCGTTTGTCTCAATGTATCATTTTGCGGCCAGTGTTGAAAAATGGGGTCGGGGTAAGAAGTAGAGTTTCTTCCAGTTTTTACGGGAGAAAGCCTACCGCACCCCCCCAACCCTCCCCAGAACGAAATGGAATTTATACATACAGATTAAGGATATGGTTAGGGTCAGAAAAGATTCCATAGTCAGGATTTTTTTTTTAAAGTGAGCGAGACCCTCCTCTCACTTATCGTTTGAAGGATTTTTTTTTCTTTCTGAACATAGACTTTGTCTATCTCGGAGAGTTTGCATATTTGATGAACCTAAAAGGGCTACGATTATATTTAAATAAGTATAAATATGTGGGTAAAATAAACCGGTAGTGATCTCCCCTAAACTTTCTCGAATATTCTTATATAAAACAACAAGGGGATGGTAACTGGGGATATAGTTATGATTTTTAATCCATTTTAAATACTAAAACTTTTAAAAATAGAATAGAATCTCAGTAAAAAACAATTGCGCACCAAGCGAACGCCTAATAAAGGTGTGTATAATAGTGCGCAATATTATTAGTACTTTTAAAATTTACATTAGTTTTTTGAGAAATCGGAAGTAGCGTAAATTACTACTTCCTGTCAACGGAAATTACTCAAAATTTAACAGAAGGTAGAGAATTAGATCTTTTACTTACATGTGAAATTTCATTTATCTATCTGAAATAGTACTCAAGTTATAGGCTTTTAAAAAATTCAAAGTAGGAAAAGTACCACTTCCGGTTATCGGAAATCGCTCAAAAGTTGATACGGATCTACGATTTTGATAAAATACTTATATATGAAATTTCATCAACCTAGCTGTAACGGTACTCAAGTTATCGTGTTTACACACGGACAGACAGACAGACAGACAGACACACACACACACAGACATACGGACAAGATTGCAAAATTATGTTTTTCCGTATCAGTGAGGTGTAAAACGTCGAGATTTGTAAAAATCTCGATTTTTTTTTTTGCACGATTACAATACTTTCTCTATACTACGTATATACGAGAAAGTAAAAATATATTATTGGATGGTAGGTTGCGGGAAGACATCAAGATTTAATGTTTTGTTTTAGAGAAAGGTGGATTACAGAAGTTCTTACATCTCTGCCTGGCAATTTTCGTACTATATGGTACATACACTATTCACACAGCTCTTATATGCTAAACATTTCCTTATAAGTTAAAAATTATTTTTAAAAATAATCTAACAAACGAAAAAAACTATATTGCGGTCTTGTTCTTGTCAGTAAATAACGACTACTCGATTGTATGTTGAACACTTGAAATATCTGAACTAATATTATAATAGAATATCGTTGATGTTTTTTTAAATACACTTCTTTTAATAAAGTCTTAAAATCGTGTGTCCAAAAGTTGTGTCTAAACTCACATGTCTTCATGAAACGTAGTTGTCTAGATAGGTTCCCCTCCCCCCCCCCCCCCCCCCCCCCCCCCAAAAAAAAAATATGTGCAACCGGAAAGCTGCGCAAAGAGAAAGTTTGCAAACACAAACTAATTATACTAATACGCTTAAATTTTTTTTCATCTTTCGCGGAAAAGTGTTTTATAATGCTACAACTCACATGTGACCATTCTTTTTTAATGTCTGTAGATGCTCAATTCAAGAAAAAAAATGCCCTTGCACACTTTTTTTGTGCACAGTTCTGCTGCGCATCTTTCAGGTCACCGTCTGGATGGTGTGTCCAAGCAGCGTGTCCTATCAGTGTGTCTAAACTCAAAGATCGTGTCGTAAAACAGTGTGAAGCAGCAACCCAATTTCTATACTTGAATCAGAATACTAAGGTTACACAAAAACCTAACCCTGATCCTAACCCTTTTACTCTGACCGTTACAACTATGTTGTGTTCCGCATATTGCCATATTTTAAGAACCTCGAAAATATATTTTAGTTCGTTGGGGCCGTAGGTCCCTCAAAAATTGAGAACCACTTTTGTAAAACGAAGATATAATTGGTGGTCAATTTTACAACCAAGCCGTAGCACTGCCCCTGTTTAGAATTTAAAACAACTAGCCAGCTCTTGTTGGAGTTTTGAATAAAAATATAACCTTCCACCAAATCAAACACTTCTAAGAGGTTCGCTTCTAAAATGTCAGGGCCACACAGACGAGCGCCTTCCCACGAAGAGAATTATAGAGATGTAAGTGCATTTTTATTTTTAAACAAAAACTAGTTCGGAATCAGAGACAACGACCTCTGACATTGTAGATCGCCTACGTCACAGTCAGTGGTGTTGTGGGGGATCGAAAACAACGCGTCAAAATTATCACCTATTGTTCGTATATCGAACACAACCCGTTAAAATAATCATGTATCGTTCGTATATCGAACACAACACGTTAAAATAATCACGTATTGTTCGTATATCGAACACAATACGTTAAAATAACCATGTATTAGACGTATATTGAACAACACGTTAAAATAATCACGTATTGTTCGTATATCGAACACAACACGTTAAAATAATCATGTATCGTTCGTATATCGAACACAACACGTTAAAATAATCACTTATTGTTCGAATATCGAACACAACACGTTAAAATAACCATGTATTGTACGTATATCGAACAACACGTTAAAATAATCACGTATTGTTCGTATATCGAACACAACACGTTAAAATAATCACGTATTGTTCGTATATCGAACACAACACGTTAAAATAAACATTTATTGTACGTATATCGAACAACACGTTAAAATAATCACGTATTGTTCGTATATCGAACACAACACGTTAAAATAACCACGTATTGTTCGTATATCGAACACAACACGTTAAAATAACAATTTATTGTACGTATATCGAACAACACGTTAAAATAATCACGTATTGTTCGTATAGCGAACACAACACGTTAAAATAACCACGTATTGTTCGTATATCGAACAACACGTTAAAATAATCACGTATTGTTCGTATATCGAACACAACACGTTAAAATAACCACGTATTGTTCGTATATCGAACACAACACGTTAAAATAACAATTTATTGTACGTATATCGAACAATACGTTAAAATAATCACGTATTGTTCGTATAGTGAACACAACACGTTAAAATAACCACGTATTGTTCGTATATCGAACAACACGTTAAAATAATCACGTATTGTTCGTATATCGAACACAACACGTTAAACAAATAACGGATTGTTCGTATGTCGAACACAACACGTTAAAATAATCATGTATTGTTCGTATATCGAACGCAACACGTTAAAATAACCATGTATTGTTCGTATATCGAACACAACACGTTAAAATAATCACGTATTGTTCGTATGTCGAACACAACACGTTAAAATTATTACGTATTGTTAGTACATCGAATAAAACACGTTAAATAAGCAAGCTTTATTCGTATTTCGAATACAACACGTTAAAATAATCAGGCATTATTCGCACATCGAACGCAACATGTTAAAATAATCAAGCATTGTTTGAACTCGGTCTCTTTAGCTAAAATAATGTTTATTAGATTTTTTAACAGAAGCGGGCCAAGCCTTTGGGTTTTGATTATATATATATATATATATATATATATATATATATATATATATATATATATATATATATATATATATATATATATATATATATATATATATATATATATATATATATATGTGTGTGTGTGTGTGTGTGTGTGTCTGTCAACTATCCTCTGGGTGATCCCCCCCCCCTCTACACCCCCCCTCCCCAGTCTGAACAAACCCTGCCTTAACCCTAAATCCAAACCCGAACCAATAGCATTATCTATTTTATCTCTATAGCGAAAAAACAAGTTGTGGCCCACCAGAGAGTTAAAAAGACTATAAGTCCCTTTGAGAAACAGCGGATGCAACCTGAAAAACAAGATTTTACTCCCTTTATTTTGCGCGTCGCTCATGCTTTTTACAAGCTTTTATTTAACTCACTTCCTCGTCAGTCTGTCGTCAGTCGTCAGTCTAGATCGAAACGCAGAAGTGAAAATTTGGATAGTTCTTCTTGACCGATACGATTCAAAGTTGGCACGTGGGTCAAGACATGAAGACAATGCAATCTGAAACTAAATTTGACTTAATTGGATGCCTCATTAATTTTTTATGAATTAATTAAAATTTGGACCGAATTAGTAGACATGTCTATCCAACCACACCACACGCGTCATCACGTTCAATAGCTGCGCCATCAGGTTTAATAGCTGCGCCATCCCGTTCAATAGACGCGCAATGGTTTTTAGTCATGTAACAATATTGTAAATAAAACATGTAAAGTACTGAAAAAGAAATTCATAAAAAAACGTTTTAATACCAAGCTTTTATGTAATGATGCACTAAAAAGTAGAAAATAAATTATACACTACTATTTAAATTACTATAAAGAAAAGCGTGGGTCTCTTCTCAAATATTAGTAAAGGTATCCAATAGGTACTAAAGTGACCCACGCTTTTCTTTATAGTAATTTAAATAGTAGTATAATTTATTTTCTACTTTTTAGTACATCATTACATAAAAGCTTGTTTTTTAAAACGTTTTTTTATGAATTTTTTTACAAGCTTTTATTTAACTCACTTCCTCTGTCTGTCGTCAGTCTAGATCGAAACGCAGGAGTGAAAATTCGGAAACTTCTACTTGACCGATACGATTCACAGTTGGCACGTGGGTCAAGACATGAAGACAATGCAATCTGAAATTAAATTTGACTTAATTGGATGCCTTATTAATTTTTTATGAATTAATTAAAATTTGGACCGAATTAGTAGGCATGTCTATCCAACCACACCACACGCGTCATCACCTTCAATAGCTGCGACATCACGTTGAACGGCTGCGCCATCACGTTCAGTAGGCGCGCAATGGTTTTTAATCATGTAACTATATTGTAAATGAAACATGTAAAGTACTGAAGAAAAAAAAAACGTTTTAATAACAAGCTTTTATGTAATGATGCACTAAAAAGTAGAAAATAAATTATAGACTACTATTTAAATAACTAGAAAGAAAAGCGTGGGTGTCTTCCTTAACATTAGTAAAGGTATCCCATAGATACTAAAGTGACCCACGCTTTTCTTTATAGTTATTTAAATAGTAGTCTATAATTTATTTTCTACTTTTTAGTGCATTATTACATAAAAGCTTGTTATTAAAACGTTTTTTTATGATTTTTTTTTTACAAGCTTTTATTTAACTTACTTCCTCGTCAGTCTATCGTCAGTCTGTCGTCCATCTGTCTAGATCGAAACGCCGGAGCGAAAATTCGGACACTTCTACTTGACAGATACGGTTCACAGTTGGCACGTGGGTCAAGACATGAAGACAATGCAATCTGAAATTAAATTTGACTTAATTGGATGCCTTATTAATTTTTTATGAATTAATTAAAATTTGGACCGAATTAGTAGGCATGTCTATCCAACCACACTACACGAGTCATCACCTTCAATAGCTGCGACATCACGTGAACGGCTGCGCCATCACGTTCAGTAGGCGCGCAATGGTTTTTAATAATGTAACTATATTGTAAATGAAACATGTAAAGTACTGAAGAAAAAAAAAAACGTTTTAATAACAAACTTTTATGTAATAATGCACTAAAAAGTAGAAAATAAATTATATCCAACCCCACCACACGCGTCATCACGTTCAATAGGCGCGCAATGGGTTTTAGTCATGTAACTCTATTGTAAATAAAAACATGTAAGCACTAAAAAAATTCATAAAATACGTTTTAATAATTTTTTATGTAACAATGCACTAAAACGTAGAAAATAAATTATACACTACTATTTAAATAAGTACAAAGAAAAGCGTGGGTCACTTTAGTATCTATTGGATTCCTTTATTAATATTTAGGAAGAGACCCACGCTTTTCTTTATAGTAATTTAAATAGTAGTGTATAATTTATTTTATACTTTTTTAGTGCATAATTACGTAAAAGCTTGTTATTAAAACGTTTTTTTATGATTTTTTTTGTCTTGTATACTTTCTCGTATACAAAGTATAGAGGAAGTATTGTAATCGTGTTAAAATAAAAATGGATATTTTTACAAATCTTGACGTTTTGAGACCCTGAGTCTCAAAAAATTAAATTTTGCAATCTTCTCTGTATGTCTTAGTGTGTATGTGTGTGTGTATGTGTGTCTGTGACCACGATAACTTGAGTTAGAATGATGAAATTTCTTATTTAAGTATAACATAAAATGTGTAGTTATGTATCAGCTTTTCAGTGATTTCCGTTAACCGGAACTGGAACTTGTTCGGTTTTTCAAAAGCCGATAACTTGAGTACTTTTTCTGATTGGTAAACGAAATTTCACATATAAGTAAAAGATCTATTTATCTATTTTCTGACAGATTTTGAATAATTTCCAGTGACAGGAAGTAGTACTTTACATTATTTTCGATTTCTCAAAAAAGCATTTGAATTTATAAAGTATTAACATTTCGCACTATTATACGCACATATTTTGCTGTTCACTTGGCGCGCAATTCTTATTTTCTGCGAGCCTCTATTCTATAATTAGAAATTTTAGTATGTAAACATTGATTAAAAAGCATGTATATATCCCGAGATGCCATCCCACGTAGAATTATATAAGAATAATGGGGGAAGTTTAAGAGAGATCACTCTCGCTTTATTTATTTTCAGACAATGTTGAAGTATTTCAGAGAGAGCAAGCCTCGCTCCGCCCCCAAAGCACCAGAGGAATCGTGGAAATCTCTTCAGCTGCTGACACCAATTTATAAGAAGGTGATGGTTTGCTATCGGTCAGGCCGATACTATTCAAAATATAAACAAACAATAAAACTTTATATACATATATATATATATATATATATATATATATATATATATATATATACATGTATATATATAAATATGTACATATATATACACATGTATATGTATATATTTAAGGGCCTATCATTAGGAAGATATATATATATATATATATATATATATATATATATATATATATATATATATATATATATATAGCTCGTGATTAAGAGTAACAGTAATCTACCTGTTACAGGTTAGGATTGTAACAAAAGATAATATCCCATATAACCAAAGCATTGAGAAAACAACGGAGAGCATCGTCAATGATATGTTTGAAAAAGTTCCATGCCACGAAAATGTGAAAGGGAAGCCATCAGATTCAACCGTTTTTCTCATCATCACAGACACGGATACAAAGGTTCTTCTTGGTGCCATTTTCTTACCTCCCTCTAAGTAGCAATATTCGGCAATATTTGTTGGATTATTATAATCCGAATAACGTTGCGTAGATGGCAGGGATTTGTCGAGGTGTCAGCTCTGCCATAGTTGCGGAGTAATATTTGCTGATTGTTAATTAGCTGTCTGATTTTGTTATGTTAGCCTCTTGGGGTATAGAATTACGTCATATTTCTGATAAACTATGAATGTTTTCCATCGAAATCATGAATGTTTTCCATCGAAATCATGAATGTTTTCCATAGAAATCATGAATGTTTTCCATCGAAATCATGAATGTTTTCCATAGAAATCATGAATGTTTTCCATCGAAATCATGAATGTTTTCCACCGAAATCATGAATGTTTTCCATCGAAATCATGAATGTTTTCCATCGAAATCATGAATTTTTTCCATCGAAATCATGAATGTTTTCCATCGAAATCATGAATTTTTTCCATAGAAACATGAATGTTTTCCATCAAAATCATGAATGTTTTCCTTCGAAATCATGAATGTTTTCCATCGAAATCATGAATGTTTTCCATCGAAGTCATGAATGTTTTCCATCGAAATCATGAATTTTTTCCATAGAAATCATTAATGTTTTCCATCGAAATCATGAATGTTTTTCATCGAAATCATGAATGTTTTCCACCGAAATCATGAATGTTTTCCATCGAAATCATGAATGATTTCCATCGAAATCATGAATGTTTTCCATCGAAATCATGAATTTTTTCCATCGAAATCATGAATGTTTTCCATCGAAATCATTAATGTTTTCCATAGAAATCATGAATGTTTTCCATCGAAATCATGAATGTTTACCATCGAAATCATGAATGTTTTCAATCGAAATCATGAATGTTTTCCATCCCCATGACAGACACAGGCCCACTAACCACCCCTGTATATCATCACCCCTCAATTTACACCGAAACAGTCCTATCATCTCACCAGTCCAATACATTCACTATAATTCTTAGCTACTAATGAAGCTAGAGACACACAATTGGTATCAATGTGTGGGGAAAAAATACCTTTTTTTTTCTAGTATAACTTTATTTGAAATTAATGGAGTTTAAAAACTACGTGCAACAATCTATTATAATTAACCCTGGTTTGACAAAATGGAATAGGTCCACACTGTCTTTTTCCATCTTTTGATTATTATTGTTTATATGCCTCAGACAGTGATATTGGTAGCGTAAATCCTCCTAGTCCGGAACTCCTCCGCTACTGCTTTGCTGTAGTACAGGGGTCTCCAAACTTTTCACCCCGAGGGCCGCATTAACTATCAAATATTAGTTCGGGGGTCAGAGTTTCTTCCAGGCATCTCTTCGGGGTGGCAGAGCCTCCCCCCCCCTCACCCCATAAAGAACGTCTACCCCCCCCCCCCCCCAACGATATTGAATATATATATATATATATATATATATATATATATATATATATATATATATATATATATATATATATATATATTTTAATATATAAAGCTCAGTTCTGTATGTAACGCATATGTTTGTCGTTGGTCTTGGATGGATTTAAGTGTTAGACGATTATCGCGCGCATTTGTCTAAACTTATGAGTTAAAAAATTACTATTGAAAGTGTTGGGAAATAATTTTCATTTTTCAAATTATAGTAACAATTGTCGGCATGTTCATCAAACACAAGTTTAAAAAAAATATCATCTTTTACAAAATTTTTAATTATGTCTTTATTTAGTCCTATAGCACTTACTTCCCTTTGATAAATTAGGAAAACACAATTACTTCCCTTTATAAAACCATTGCATTAGTGGAAAATAATTTACTTTTTATTACTTTGTTTTGGTGTTGGGAAAAAAAATAATTACATAATTAGCGGGGATTGATCAAGTGCAAATGTTGTAGGTATTTTACGGATAAGCTTGGAGTATTATAATTGTTCATTAAATTGAAACAGGCGCGTTCGTTTAAGTGAGTGCAAAAGACTATGAATAAGTTGGGGTACTATAGTCGTTCATTAAGCTAAAACAGGTGATTCCGCCACGGGCGTTTATGTTCGCGTTAGTGTTTTCTTTGTGTTTAGGTGGGTTTGCGTTAGTGGTTGCGTTTTGATTTGGTTCGTTTTTGTTCTTTCTTTTTTCGTTTTTGTTTGTGTTTTTTTGTTTGGGTTTGTATTTGTGTTTTTGGTTGGTTTTGCGTTTGGATTTGGTTTGTTTTCGTTTGCTTTTTCGTTGTTTTTTTTTAAGTTGGTATTGGTGTTTGTGGTTGGGTTTGTTGTTAGGTTTTGTTTTCGTTTGCTTTTTTGTTTGTTTTTTCTTTGTGTTTGTATTGGTGTTTGTGGTTGTGGTTGGGTTTGTTGTTAGGTTTTTGTTTTCGTTTGTATTTGTAATTGTGTTAGCGTTATGTTTGCGTTTTGTTGTTTTGGTTGGTTGTGGTTTGGGTGGGCAATGCCGGGTTTATGATGATTACTAAACACACAGGTAATGGTCTTTAACAGAAAGGTTTTTCACAGAAGCCAGAGCAGGGCCTGGCCGGGACGGCTAGTATATATATATATATATATATACATATATATATATATATACATTTCAATACTCTGCTCAGAACTTTCTCACAACTTAGCCATCTCACTGCTGTGAAATATGGTAATTTTTGCTAATCTATGTTTGTATCTTTCAACATGTCTCTGAACTATCTATGAATGAGCCCATGTGACCGTATCAAATGCACCATCTTCAACACAGGATTCAGTACACTGCTAATGTCCACATATTTAAAACACACAGCTAGCTGGTGAATAATATAGTGCAGGAAAATTGGTTGTAGAATATTTTTCTTATTTGTTGTCGAACCAAGCCTTTCTTTATGACACTCGCGTACTTTCCTCTATCAACAGTCAGGTAACAGCAGTTAGTCCAGTCCAAGTTATTAATAGCAAACTCATTGAATATATCCTCTCCGGTAACAGTGCCATACATCTTATGTAGGGAAGCCAGCTCTTCTGTTATATTCATGTCTTCATCCACACCTCTAATGAACACAAGCAGCTGAGAGGTGGAAGAGCTGTCCAGTGACTAATGAGTTGCAATTGAAAAATGACGAAACTTGCTTGCAAATTTGCAATTTTCGCTATTTGATTCACAGTGTTTTCACCTATGTCTGCAACACGGTTGGCAATGGTACTTTAGCACACAACGCTATATATATGATCAATTCGTTTTGAATTTTTTCCTCAGCCACCTCCAACAACTTTTTTTTTCGTGGACAAAAAGATCTCCGCGGGCCGGATGAGAGGACCTCGCGGGCCGCATCCGGCCCGCGGGCCGTAGTTTGGAAACCCCTGCTGTAGTAAGTCGTCACTCGACATTTGAGTCCATGATGACTGATGTAGATTTATATTAAACATTACTTTTCACTCTTAAAGTGATAAGCATGTCTATACACGATACTGTATTTTTTTTTTGCCTCAGACACGTAATTTATAGCGTCAGTTGTGTGTTCGCTTTAGTATTACAGTTTTCATCATCGGCTTGTGAGGACTGATACAGATTTACAATAATAATATTTCTTTCTTACTTGTAGCCTGCTTTCATTCATTTGAGATGGTTTACTTATATATAGATCTAATACAAAACGTCTAAATATAAAGAAAAAATTAAAATCAAAAACCAACCTGAAACTGAAAATGCAAATGTTTAATTAAATGATGATTCAAGGGATTTTTTTTTCTCGGCGTGGTGGGCTGAGGGGACGAGGGGGGGAGATGGGGAATTTGTTTTTTTTTAAAGTAGAGCTGAAATGAATTTGGGATTACAGAGAATTAAAATGATACAAATTTTAAGCAATCGGAAAAGCAATGTTATTACAATGAGACACGTAAAAGCAAACACTCTTCCCTTTCAAACATCTATATCTATACAGTCCTCAAACAGTTTTTTTTTTTCCTTTTTTTTATTAATTCAATTGTTTTAAACATTTAAATCAGTAATAATTATTTATTTGATATATTTTACACAGCATCAAAGACATGAACATCAATTGCATATATAATAATCAAATGGAGAAAATAAAATGGCATAAGAACTAGACTAAAATAAGGTGTGCCAACTAGGTTTCTCCTGACTGCTTAGTTTACTGTGCTTTGTCCTTAGCTGAGGAGTCAAAAGTTTACATTGTAGCCACCCATGGACAGAAATAGAAACGACCGTGGGAGAAGTGTCTCTGCAGTACACATACTGATCTATCATTCCAAAACTTTCCATGACATAAAATTGACCCTTGGCAAAGAGGGCACGCTACCTTGAAAAATCCGCCAGTCCGGTTGAGTGGGGGGAAGTGTGTGTGTGTGTGGGGGGGGGGGTGAGGTGTGTATCTCTTTCTACCATTCAGGTTGTGCACTTTTAAAAACCTGGGAAACAGAAGACTGTTCTAATGTTAATTTACTTGAGGGCTGATCGAGACTGTCGATATTAATTATGCATCTAGTTTATTTGCTTCTTCTGTAGTTCAAATGTTAGTTTCCTGTAAAAGTAGGATGTCAATATTGTGTTTATTTATTATGTTGTTTATATAATGTGTTTGTCCCTAGCCCCCCTGATGTTAAATGTTGCCAGTTAGCATGAATTATTTGGGGTTTTCTTTCGAACATCTGTTTCTGGAGGGCTGGATGGTGGTGGTCTTTTAACGCCAAACTTTCCAGCCGCTGGTTTGCTATCCCGTTGGGCCCTGGTCACGACCCTTTGAGGTGGCTTTACTGTAGGTAATTGATTTTTACTTGAACTGATTGCTTGACTATATGACAGTTGACCTGATACCTTTGTTGCTGATATACTTTGTGAGCTTTTAATTTCCTTTAGCAGTTTCGTTATGTTTTCTGAACTAGTGTTATCTTGAAGAATATCATTTATTGTTTCGTCGACAGCCTCCAAATTTTCTTGATCCCCATCTTTTTGAGACCCTGTTACCATGGAATTTCTGATCGCTATTG